AGCTACACCCCGAAAGTCCCGATTCGGGTCAAAATTATGAATTTTAAGCTGTAGGCCTTTTAAGCTTCTTTAGCCTCTCTTACAACTATTTCATCTAATAAGAATCTCCTGAAGCCTTATTTCTTCCCATACATGGCATGTTTGTCACCGCCATTTCCTCATAAAGTCAATCTTTAATTTTTCTTTATCGCCCATTTTCTCAAAATACGTGTTTTCTGTATTATACTTTTCTGAAGAAAAGATGTAATACTAAACTTTTATTGAATTTTTTATGTATGGAATAGATTTTTGGTGGTGGTGTCTGGAGTGTGGATTTTCACGGATTTTTTTGCCAACTTGATTACTACCTCAGGCAAAAAATCAATAGAAATTTTCTAACTCGTTAAGAAAAAATTCATCAGATAAATTTGTAAATCTATTGTTTGCTAACATGCAGGCCAAAAAAATATATTTCCCAGATAAATGTGAGCGGTATTCATTACGTGTCAACAAAATCCAATATTCCAATATGGTCGTCGTATCCATGGAAAGGAATTCTTTTTTTCAAATTTGATTGCCGATTTTAAGACTCCTTACTATATAGTGTGAAATTTTTAAAAATTTGATCTACTTAGAAGCGAGATAATCTTCAAGTGTAACCCAGGAAATGGGAGGAGCCCTGAGTTCGAACATTTCGCTACCTTGTTCATATCCAGCCCTGAACCAATCAAAGCAAAAAAAAAAAATTATGTTTGTGTTTGTATCGTGCAGACCTGGGCAGACCGTGTGCTGGGAAAGGCGGCTGTAATTATCCCTCTCGCCGTGATTGTGTCCACTTTTGGCACAACGAGCAACGTCATCCTGGGGGCTAGCAGGTAAGTAGATCCGTGTGCTGTGTGTGTGTGCGTCTTTGTATTTGTGTATTTGTGTACTTGTGAGTGCATGTGTGTGTTTGTGTGTGTGTGTGTGAGAGAGAGAGAGAGAGACAGACAGACAGACAGACAGACAGAGAGAGAGACAGAGAGAGAGCGAGACAGACAGACAGACAGACAGACAGACAGACAGAGAGAGAGAGAGACAGAGAGAGAGCGAGACAGAGAGGGAGCGAGCGAGAGAGAGAGAGAGAAAGAGAGAGAGAGAGAGAGAGAGAGAGAGAGAGAGAGAGAGAGTATTTGATTGTTTGTGAGTGTTTTGGTGTGTGAAGGAGGGGTGGAGGACGAGGTGGGGGGGGGATGCCTTGAATATGGGGTGAGCAGGTAAACAAATTTGTGTGCTGTGTGTTTGTGTGTTTGTTTGTATTTTTGTACGTGTGCGTGTGTGGTGGTGGGGGGGGATATTTGTTTGTAGTTGTTTTTGTTGTTTGTGTGTGAGAGAGGGACGGAAGATGGGATGAAAATGATGCCTTGGGTGGGGGCGAGCTGGCAAGTAAATATCTTTGCTGTGTGTTTGTGTCTTTGTGTTTGTACAATTGTGTACTTGTGAGTGTGTTTATGTTTTGTGTGTGTATTGTGTGAGTATGTATTTGTTCGTTTGTTTGTTGGTGTTTTTAATGTTTGCTTGTTTGAGACAGAGGGATGGAAGACGGGAAGGAGAGGATGTCCTGGATTTTATTTTATTTTATTTTATCTTATTTGGGGGGGGGGGCGGTAAATAAGTAAATAAGTAAATCTGTGTGCTGTGTATTTGTGCTTTTGTATTTGTGTAGCAGGTAAATAAATCGGTGTGTTCATGTGTGTGTACCTTTATACTTGTGGGTGTGTATTACATGTTTGCGCGCGAGAGAGGAGAGAGAAACGCACAGAGAGAGAGAGAGAGAGAGAGAGAGAGAGAGAGAGAGAGAGAGAGAGAGAAAGGGGGAGGGGGGGAGCACTCTGTCTTTACTATACATCTATTACATATGAGAACATTTTGGTAAGAAATTACCGGCGTGTGTGGCGTTGCGGCTAGCCGCTACGGTGTCCCATGCAATAAACCAAGTTCGATTTCTGAGTGGGGAGAAAAGTTCTATCGAATGGCTAGGTCTTTCTGTGACAATGTTGCATCCCTCTCAGCTGGGATTTGGCCTGACAGTGACAGGGAAGGTTAGAAGCCCGTGTCCTAAATGTGCTGAAGTGTGTCCAATGGGGTGGAGAACCACCAATATTTAATAAGAAATTGATGAAAATTCAAGTAAGAACTAAATTACTCATCGTTGTACCGGTAGATGGATGGATGCGTCTACAGTGCATGTATTATACTACTATACAATATGTACAATGTATATAATATGTTGTGATTATTTTCGAGAATGTAATCCTTTACAGGAGTGTGTTTGCTGCTGCACGAGACAGGAATATGCCGTATGTGTTCAGTTTTGTCCAAGTTGACAGACGCACCCCCCTTACCTCCATGACACTCGTGGTGAGTCACACTTACTAGCTGTTCGTCCGGGTTTTTTTCACTTCGCAGAACAGAGTCTGTGGTATTGCGGTTAGACGCTTCACTGTCGCCAGAAGGAGACCTGAGTTTGATTCCCGATTGGGGAGAATATGTTTATCGAGTATCTCGATCTTTCTGCAGGGATGTTGTCTCTTCTCAGCCTGGGATAGTCCCTTGAGGATCTAAATTGATCTAAATTATATAGACTGGGGCGTGAAAACGCCAAGACATTAATTAAATAACGTTGATCTCTCCCTTCCTCATTCATTGATTTGTTGCGTTCTCGAGAACAAACTGAGCACAGAAGATGTCCAGATTTTGTTTCCTTCTCCATACCCCTCGGTGTGTCTCCCGTGGAGGAGTTCTGTTGCCGACAAACCAGTCCATTCTCTGATGTTGCCGAGCCAGCTTTGTATCTTTGTCTTCCTATGTTTTCGACTGCCTTTAACAGTTCCTTACACTCCTTACATAACGGTTTTTGCAAGTCTGTCGTGCTGGGTTTCGTGGCCAAACCAGGCAAGTTTCTTCTTTTTACTGTGGCTAGCAGTGGTTCTTGTGGGGCAACTATTTCATGTAAATCTTCAATTTTTCCGCTCATCACAGTCATAATTTGTCTTATGTTCTCTAAAACATACGCATGATAATCTTCAGAGTTTATTGTGGATTGTTTTGAGTTTTTTTGGTGGTTTTTTTCTTTTGTTTCTATGTTTCTTTTTATTCATTTTCAAAATATTTTAGAGGGGGTGGGGTGGGGGTCTTCTCAGATGATTTAGTATTTTACAAAAAATAGATACGTCCTTTCGAAGGCGTAGAATTTCTCCCAATTTAAAATAAAATAAAATTTCACGTTAGTGTAGAGACATGGAAACGAGAAGGGAAGGATCAGTTCTCCTCAGTGAACATGCCACATATATTATTCAAACTTAGCTGTTCATGTGTCTTATTCTACAAACAGGGTTTTATACGTTAGATCAGCAGGTCAAAAAGTATACTGACAAATATCGTCTTTCCTTTTATTTGTTCTTGCTGGATTGCAGGTTTTTATCAGTCATGTATATAACTCTTTTCCACTAAAAACATTGTGTAGTCAGCGAAAAAGAGTCTGCAAGGTACCATTCTGATCTAATTATGCCATGCATAATAGAAAAGCTAATAGGAAAAAAGTACCTGAAGTTCACTTTCTTCAGTCAGCCCATTTTGCAATAGAGTCATTCATAATAATAGCAAATGAGTGCTAACATTATTGTGTTGAATGTTATAATGAAGGCATGATGACATGAGGATTTTCACTTTGGCTCATATTGTGTAATCACTTTATCCATTTCCAACGCCATAGGCGTTTAGGAGGGTGTCCATGGTGGCGGGGGGGGGGGTGTTCTTGAATAAAAACACATGATCAGCCTAATTCAAAAGCACATGGCTCTTCACAGTGTTGACCAACAATGGCGTGTTTATAGTATATAATATGTATGTTTCAGTACGTACCGATCTATCTACTTATGTATTTATATGTCATATTTTTGTATGTATGATAAACTAGCTTGGTTTCCTGTTCGATGAACGAACTCAGAAGAATCGATCGTCAAATCATTGTGGGATCAGTGCACACACTCTTTGTGAACGAAAGCCTCACTTGTTTACAAAGGCGTCTTAGAAGACTGATTTTCCCAAGATTAGATCTAAACGAAACTAATGAAAAACTGAAAATTAAACTACAGTGACGTCAGACTCCCCAGTAAAACTGTGCTCTCTTTAAATGATTCTGAATCACCGTTAATTTTGTCAAATTCGAAAGTTAAGTTGTTCCGAAGTTTTAGGCGGCCAAAGTGACGAACTTTCACAAATATAATATATAGATGTTGCGCAATTGTAAACAATAGTTCCACGGGGATCAATGGAAGTGAAACTTTATCGCTTTCATCATTTTATGTCTCCGACCCCAGGTGGCCCTGTCCTTGATTATGTTGATACCAGGCGACATTGCTAAGCTCATCAACCTCATGGGTTTCATTGGTTCCTTCTTCTCCCTGCTCATCTACATCTGCTTCTTCCGCTTCCGGTTCCTGATGAAGGACGCACATAGGCCAGTCAAGGTAGGTTCACAGTTTTTAAAGTTTGTTTTTTTTGTTGGTTTTTTTTGGGGGTTTTTTTTTGGGGGGGGGGTTGGGGGGTGTCCTTCATGTGTTGGAGATTATTTCCCAACTAGATACAGCAGAGCGATTCAAAGGCACAGCATTTTGATTGCTGAGTTGACGTAAGGTTGAGAAGAAATAATCTATATCACATTAAGACAAGAAACCATTAGATCCACTCGGATAAGACTTAAACTTCAACCTTTTGGGCTGGGATCAATCAATGCATTACCATAGTCAACAAACCTGTTCAGAGAGACTGAATTCTCTCTGCATTCGAGACTTCTTTTAATGCGCAGAGGAGGCGGGGTAAAAAAGTTAAATGTAAGAAGGAAAGGGCGTTGGGGGTGATGACATCGAAGAATTTGGGATAGCCCGATGGAGGGGAGTG